CCAGAGCCTTGTGCAGCTAATCACTCTCCCTGAAACCCTATTGAGAGCTCACTGGCCTATAAAAGGGCAGGTGGTCCTCTCAAATTGGAGAGACATATGTGCCCAGGTCAGGGGTGGGTGCAACTCCCACAGGTGTGGACTCACCAAGGCACCTTCCCTCTGGCCGGCGCTAGAGGGCGCACGTGGCCCGGAGCCCTTCCTTGAATTTGGCATTCTCTGCTGGTCTAGGCAGGGGACCCCTCCCTGCAGCTAAGATGAGTGCTGAGCCTGGAATGAACAGCCTTGCAACCTGTCAAGGAGACTGGGACCCTGCCTGCTCCCTCCCCTCCCACCCCAGAGCTTACAGGAGAGGCTGGAGGAAGGTCTTCCTTCTGAACCCTGGAAGAGACCACAACTCTTACAGGAAGTTTTTCTCCGTGCACAGTGGAAGCCAAGTCAAGTCTTAGAGACCTTAATGGTAAATTTTGCTTCCAGGGAAAGTAGCTAGAAGTGGAGATTTGCGTCTCTGAGGAAGTCTTAAGAGTCAGACATCCCTGAAGGTGAATCTCTGCTTTGCCCTTTGCTGTGTGGGCTCGAACAAGGGAAGAAATCTTGGAAGTTCAGTTCCCTCTAGCCCTAAGATGGGATGAATTCTGTGGTGGTTTGAATGAACATGGCCCCCGTTAGGCTCACAGGGACTGGCACTATTAGGGAGTGTGTTACTGTTGGAGTCGGTGTGGTCTTGCTAGAGGAAGTGTGTCACCGGCTCTGGACTTTGAGGTCTCAGGTGCTCAAGCCAGTCCCCAGTGTCTCCTCCCTCCCTTCTTTCTGCCTATCTGGATGTAGAACTCTCAGCTACTTCTCCAGCACCATGACTGCCTTGCATGCCACCATACTTCCTGCCATGATGATATTGGACTAAGTATCTAAACTGTTAGCCAGCCCCAACTAAATGCTTTCCTATATAAGAGTTGTGATGGTCATGGTGTCTCTTCATAGCAACAGAACCCTAACTAAGACCAAGTACCTCTAACCCGTAGGCTTGGGGCAAGAATTGCTTAGCCCTGTAGAGACACATGCATGCCTGCACCCACCCACACATAGCTCCAGAGTGGGGTTTCTGCTCAGGAGGAGAAATGCTTCCTTTTCATTGATCCACATAATGGCTTTCTGTGGCTAATCAGCCTGAACTGTATTCCATTGTTTGTCCTCAGTTAGATCTGCTGAACTAATTACCCAGGTCTAGAATTAGATTCTCACCCTGAGCTGGGAGATCTTCTCCAACAATCTACTTCCTTTTCAAGGAAAGCATCCTGAATCTGAGTGAGTTCCCCAGCAGCCTCAAGGTTACCATGAGCTACCACGGCAGGTAGCAAAGGAAATCTTATTTTTCCCCCAAGCCCTAACTAATTATGGAATGTCATCACAGCCCGATTAGTATTTACCCAACAACGTGCTGATTCCTGATCCAGCCAAAAGCTTAACTGCCATTTAAATGGAGCACGATATTTAAATCTTAATTTCATTACCTCCTGGTAATAATCTTACAATTATAAATCTAAAGTATCACTAGGAATACATTTGCATGTATAAAGAATCTGTCCTCATTGTCTCTCCCATGGCACACATGCCCGTTGGTTTGACTTCGGAACCAGAACCGAGTATCCTTTTATGGAGAGAGAGGTGATATAATGTGTTCCTGCCTCGAAGCCTGCTCCGTGTGGGAGAGAAACACAACACAGCATATACTATGGAAGACTAACTGAGACAGACATCCAGCCTTGTGGACTGAGCAACTATGGGATTCCTGAACTTTGCATTCACAGCCAGCCATTGTTGGATTAGCTGGACTGCAGTTTGTAAGTCATTCCAACATATATATAGAGAGATTCATTCTATAAGTTATGTTACTCTAGAGAACCCTGACTAATACACTCTGCCTCCCCAGCACTAGGGTTTGGGGTGAGCACTAAGACTCTTGGCTCTTTATGTGAGTGCTGGGGGTCTGAACTCATGCTTGTGTGACAGGCACTGGACCAACTGAGTGACCTCCTCAGCTCTCATTCCTGCTCCATAGCTTTGACATCCCTTTAACCTCACAATTGTGTGTGTGTGTGTGTGTGTGTGTGTGTGTGTGTGTGTGTGTGTGTGTGTAATGTCCAGACTATTACCTGGTGTCATGGCTATTCTTGGTTGCCAACTTGACTACATCTAGAATGATCTGAGACCCAAGTGGCTGGGTACACCTGTGAGGGATTTTTTTTTTCTTAATTACATCATTTAAAGTGTGAAGACCCACCTTGAATCCCTATCTTTTTTTTTTTTTTGGTTTTTCGAGACAGGGTTTCTCTGTATAGCTTTGCGCCTTTCCTGGAACTCACTTGGTAGCCCAGGCTGGCCTCGAA